TCAAATCTTGTGAGCATTTTGGAGATATTACTCAAGATGACAGGAGCTTGGCTACAAACCCACAACAGATCTGCAGACGAGGTTGAAGAAATTCGTTCAGTGGTATCTCAGTTACTACGGCAATGGGGAGAAAATGAGTAAATTTAATCAACGGGGTCGAAGAAATTGATAAGGGAGAATCAATTTCTCCATGATACGTGCTGCAAGGAGAATCAATTTCTCCATGATACATGCTGCCTTACCTTTCTGTTAAGCATAATATCCTCTTGTATAGCTGTAGGGATAATCTCTTTAATTGTATTTGATTCTTTCCTTATTTACCACTGTAATTATCGTGTATATATAATGAAGAGTTATCTCCTCGTACAGCAAGGAGGATTTCAGTCATTTACCATGTTTATCAAACATCTTTAGAAATTATGTTTGTTGCTGACAAAAAACTGTTTGCAAAAAACCAGTTAATCATTTGGATCAACTTTCATTTGAAACTTACTTATGGAGTTTCAACTATATCTAAGAGTACAGATTCTTATCAACCTATCTTTATGAGAAACAAGATAAATGATAAGAAAGGAGTGTAGATAAATGGAGAGGAAATAGTCTTTACTCTGTCCTTCCTTTCATTCCTTTCAGTAAAAGTTGTTCACCCTACAGCTAACAATTTACTAAAACTCTTTGGCTTGGCCAGTGATTGATTCATTGAAGCACCTTTATTCGCACTCATCATTGATAAAACCAGGAAAAGATGCTCTCGAAAAGTTCAGCATGCACTCTGAAGTTCTTTTGATGTGTCGAAGTTCCCTTTCAGTTTAGATTTTTTTGACTTAGTATTCCCGCAAGTGTAGTTTACCAAGTGTTAATAATTGACGTAAACCATAAGATTTTTTGTGAAAATTGAAAGACGAATTGGGTTTTTGGATAAATGATTATAAATGAACACATTAATATTTGAAAGTTCTGATTTACACATAATAACCTCAGAAGTAAGTTCTGATTTACACATTAATATTGCCTATCTACCTACAAGAGTAGGAAAGAACAGAGAAGATGGTAAATCACACACGCATCTATTCCATTGATTGCAGAGTATTTATAGATTACAAATGAAACCATAATACAACTAAGTTCCTGAATTATCTACTGAAGTTGTTATGGAGTTGAAAACAGAAAGATACAAATTCAAAATTTAAAATATGGATAATAATAAATGGATAACTCCATGAACTAACTGCTCCTGCTCTATTACTACCAACTCAGCCACAAAAATGAAACAAACCAAGCTATACCATGATTCATTCATTCCTGCTTCATCATTTTCATTTCTATTATCAGCCCCACAAGCAATAACCAGGACTGCAATCTCCCTTCTTTCATAGTTGCATCAACAAGGAAATATCAGCCCCACAAGCAATAACCAGGACTGCAATCGTTGGCAAATCAATTCCAACTCTGAAAATAACCTCATAAAGGTAGGCAAAACCCTGCCTCGCACATTAGCTTCTACTTCAATATTCAAATTCTCAAACCGGACTTCAATTGTTGGCAAATCAATTCCAACTCTGAAAACAATCATAAATAAATAAACCAAAATCCAAATTATAGAGCAAAACACAATCAAGGGTCGTTCGAGGAGGCCTTGCGCCGGTGGAAGTGAAGCAAAAGTTGTCATTTTGTTTCACCCTTCGAGGGGACCTTGCGTCGGTGGAGATGAAGCGAATTGGGGGTTCTCTTCCAGTGGTGGTGGAGATGAAGCGAAATTTGTCATTTTGTTTCACACTTTGGGAATTAAGGGTTTAGGGTTGGGGGTTCTCTTCCAGTGAGAAGGAATGTTGTGAAAATGGGAGAGATGGGTGTTTTGAGCAAGGAGGAAGCTTTGAATTGGGGTTCTCTTCCAGTGAGCATAGAAAATGGGGGAGAAGCGTGATTTTAGAATGTTAATAACTTACCCATGTCGCCGGCGTCGCATTTGTCGGAGTGGGAGTTGCCGGCTTCCCCTTCATCTCCGTCAGGTAATGTATCGACGTCAGCGTGCGTGTGGGTGGGTGGGGGGGGGGGGAAATTAAAGGGTTCGACGACGTGTGGTCACCGTC